TACAGCCATTACTGGGGAAACCGTTTTTATCACTCTAAAAGCGCCTCCTGCTGGCAGAGAATGAGTTTGCATTTTCAATAATAAGCCCGTCTCCAGCAACGTTTCCAGTTTTTGTTCAATTTTTTGGTTTTCTGCAGCGACTCGGAGCAATTTCCATACCCTTTTTTTCTGGCTGAAGCACATTTGTTTCAATCTATATGAATAATCAGCCTACACTACCAGTCTAAAGTTTTTGAACGGTAAGATTGTTAATGTTTTTTTTTTAAGAATTCTCTTCTGCTCACCAATGCTGCATTTATTTGATCCAAAGTACAGCAAAAACAGTAACATTTTGAAATATTTTTTCTATTTAAAATTGCTTTCTATTTGAATAGATTTTAAAATGAAATTTATTCCTGTGATCAAAGCAAAATTTTCAGCATCATTACTCCAGTCTTCATTGTCACATGATCTTTCAGAAATCTTTCTAATATGCTGATTTGCTGATTAACAAATTTTTTTTCAGGATTCTTTGATTAATAGAAATATCCAAAGATCAGCATTTATCTCAAATAAAAAGCTTTTGTAACATACACTATTCCATTTAAAAGCTTTGAGTCAGTATAATTTTTATTATTTTTTGGGGAAAGAAATTATAGAAATTAATACTTTTATTTAGCAAGGATGCTTAAAATTGATCAAAAGTGATGATAAAGGCAGTTATAATGTTACAAAAGATTTCTATTTCAGATAAATAGCTTTCATATCGATATCGGAATTATATTGTATCGAATGAAATTAAGAAATATAGTGTGATATAAATTTTGGTCATATTGTCCAGCCCTATGTGAAAACTTGCAAACTGTAAATCATACTTTTTACAGTCATTTTAGAGTTTCATGTGTAACTGTAGACATTGCTCTATCCCGATCATATGGTATTAATTTTATTTGTGCAGGTCTTAAAAAAGGTCTTAAAGTCTGTGTAAAGTCAATATTAAATGTGTGTTCTGAGTTTATCAGACCACAGAAAAATGTGTTATTAACCATCCAGCAAAATTTGAATGCTAAAAAAACCCCGCCAAGTGAATAAAATAAGCTATCAAAATCTTGTAAAAATAAGCTGTATTCTCTGCTCTCAGACGCCAGGGGCGTGTCAGCTGGCGCCGCTGAAACCACGCCCACTCATGGAAAAGCTGCCGTCTCTACCTCAACCGTCTTCCTCTGCAGCTTATTTAAATGAGGAGGCCGAGCTGTTTTGTAAATTATTGCAACCAGGTATTATGCATTTACGTGACGAAGGCAAGCTAGCTAGCGACCTCTAGGCTGTAGCAACGAACGGCAGTAACTTGCGATTGAGCGGGCAAACCACTGCGCTGTAGTTATTAGGTGTGTTCGACTTGAAGCAGGGCTGTGCAGAACGATCAGTGTATGACACGAGAGCGATTCGAAAGCATGAGGAGCCGTCTGCTCTCTATAGCTGCTTCAAGTCGAACACATGTCTTCTAGTGTTAGGGGAGGGGCCATGCTCGGTGGCTCCATTGTGTCATCGAGCCACCGTTTTAGCCCCACCCAAAAAAATCCTGAACACCGAATTGTTGAAAAACAGTTTAACGGTTTAACTCCACAATTCAGTACTACATACTTCAGAGTCTTTGTAATGTGTTTCTGCAATACATTTCTAACATTTATAATGTGTTTAGAAACAATTCTCAGAATTCTCTTTACACGGACTTTAAAAACAGGATTTTTGCCGTTTTTATGTAGGTAAATTTAAGACTCTTTTCGAGACCAAGTAAAGAAAATGTAAGGAATAGATTGAAGGGAACGCAATATGTTCTCTTATGAGTCATTTTCACCGAGCGGTACGATTCAGTACAGTACAGTACGGTACGCAATTATTTCCATTTCCATTGTCAGAAGTTGTGAATGTTACCAAAATAGCAAACCGTACTGTACCCATTTTTTGGGACCCTTCCGTTGGGCGACCTAGCACAGTAGTTCGGTACCTAAAGGGTGGAGCTAGACTCACTGCAGAACATTGATTGGTTGACAGAGAATCATTAAACTTTAACTTAATTTTGTTCAGTATTTCAAGATATATTGCTTGAAAAAATACAAAGTCAAACTCACTTTAGCCTATATATAAAACATAAAAAATAAAAAAATACAAAAAATACACGGGCAGGATATGCCAAATCAGCATACTAAATCAGCATACTATCATCTCAAAAACATTGCAAGAATTAGATGTTTTGTTTCCAGTCAAGACTTGGAGAAACTTGTTCATGCCTTTATCACCAGCAGGGTGGACT